ACCTAAACTACTAGCGAACTACAAAATAACTCACTTCCACATCCTGATGATCCGACCAAAGCAATTGTTTTACCAGATGGAATATACATTGATAGTTTATTGAGGATCTACATACAAATGATATATAATGTATAAAAGTTCGATGAAAGTTGAAAAAATTCATACCAAAGCATCTTGTCTTGCAGGATAAGTAAAACTAACATTATCAAATTCAATATCACCTTTAATAGTTAGTGGCTGTTCACCATCATCACTCAACGCATTAATCATTGAAGACTAAGAGGTTATGAAAGAAAATTCATTGTATGACCACATTATTCTAAGCTTACTCTTTCAATAATGTGAAATACACCACCTCCACTACCCAGAGCTTCTGCAAAACTTTGAATATTAGGCATAAATTGAGATACTTGCATTGTAGCGACCTACAAACAGTACATGAGAATTATATGAATAATATATTCTTTTCTAAGGCGAAAATATACCATACAGGCGTAGAGAATCTATAAATAAAATTTGCGAATGAAAGAAGTGTGACGGAGATCATAAACTTACCAAAAATACTGATCCGGCTGAATAGTTTGAACAATCAGCTTGAGAAAGATGTAAACCATACCTATAATTAATTGTTATATATTTATTTACATAATGGAAAAAGAATAATGAAATATAATACCAGAGTGTAAGTGCTGTTGCTGAATAACTGAAAAGATTATTTAAACCTTGACATAATCCTACATAAGTACCTTTTTTTACTCCAATAGTTTTTGCCTTCGCCAAACTATTTGCAAATCTAAAATAATAAATATAGTATAAGATGATAGATATCATAATTATATACCTTTCTTCCTCTTTTTTTTGACCATGGAATGCTGTAACTGTTCGAATACTTTGTAAAACTTCTTGTGCAATTGATGATGCTGATGCAAATGCTTGTACTTCTTTTACTGTATATGTAATAATCGTCTATAAAGAAATTAAAGTTTCTTACTAATTTATAGAATATATTTTTACTTTGATTGTAAAATTAATAGTAACAACTATTAGCGGAGATATAGATAGATAAACCAATGTTAATTTCCATCCTTCCACAAATGCCAATATGAGTGAACTGATCATTCGCACGCAAAGTGAAAAGAAATCAGGTACTTTCTCACTACCATAAACCATTTATTAGAAAGATTTATTAAAATTTAACGAATTAAATTACCCTATTCCATCTTTAATTTTATCTGCAACGAAATGATAAAATGAAATCATAAGTCATACTGAGAATATTCATTTACCTAGATCATCAACAAGTCGATTACTTAATTCTCCAGCATTTTGTACATCAAACCAACCAATTTCTTGTCGAAGAATGTTTTGAAAAAGAGCAAATCGAATACGACGAACTTGTCTCTCAGCAGTGATAAGCCAAGTTGACCAACCAATGTAACACAGTATTAAATTTCCTAAGCCGACCATCACATAATAAGTTATAATATTTTCCATAGAAATCGTAGATGAAACATTATTTGTAGTATTAACAACGACTGAACTATAGAAAAATGAGACTAAATTATATCAACCTACAATTGTCTAGTTACCATTCATTTGAAAGATTAAAAGTGGTAGAAGTATTCATTTTGCTATTGGTAGCAAAATGATTAAGTATTTGTTTATATAAAATAAGGACTATTGGATAACAAGCTAAAGAAAAAGAGTTCGACTTGACTCTAATACATGAAATTCCATACCTCCAGTTCCCAATGCTAAAAACAATCAAGAATAAATTATATTTAGAACAAAATTTAACTAACCAGCGATAGAACCAATAATCATCAAAAGCATATCTAGTCCATCAGCAAACTTGTAGATTTCGAATAGTTTCAAACGACGAGTTTCAAATTCTTGTGATTTTTGGAATCTTTCAGCAAGTCTATTAAGAAATACACTATTCGTTCTTATTCAATAATATATAGATAACTTAACGGTTTTTTTCCCCTAAAGACCGATCTGTTTCGATGAAGGTTTATTTTTGAAATGAAATCAAAATCACCTGCACCGGCAGACATACTTGCTCGAATTTGTCGTTGTACATCAGGACCATTGAGTGTTTGTTGAACTTTTCTTTGAAGATCTTCTTCATCTATTACGACTTTTGATCTCATCCTTGTCATTTTATTATTAGTTGCATCAAATCTATAAGAAACAAAGTTGAATTTTTCAGTACAAATTCTAACATACTTTTTAAGCTCGGGAACAACGTCATCAGCTGATGAGTGATGTGATGATGATTCAAGAGAAGCAGATCTATCTGGAGGCGATATACCAGCAGAATGTGATGGTTTTGGGATAGATAAATGATCAAGTGGTAATTCATGTAAATTATCTGGCAATGAAAGATGTGAAACCGTTGGTGATGAAACTTGAAAGTTAGGTATTGACGTAGTATGTGTCATCTTCACTGATGGAAGTGGCGAAGCATTTGTTGAATTGCTTGGCAAATCCATCTCGTTATCGATATCACTATTCGATTCGTATTTCGGGATATCTTCCATAGCGATGCAAATAAATCAACGAATTACTTATACAATCGATAAAATAAAAATGATATTAAATGATAATGAGAAAAAAGAACTAGTAAATAGAAAGAAGAGAGTCTATTTACTAATGTATGATATGATGTTTCACTGATTATAAATGATAAATCATGATGTTCACTGAATTTTTGAAGGTAGAATTAAACTTGATTAGTACGTCATTAGTTATCATGTAGTAATGAGAAGCATACAGCCCACATATACATATTTTTTTATAGACAAAATACTATATTAAAATTAATTCATAGATTGTCTATATGTTTTGGACATTCTTACTCAATATTTTATCTATGATATATCGCTGATAGTCATATAAAAATAAAAATTTGTCGATTATTCGTTTTATCTATTAAATCTATCGAGTATGCCTCAGTTTTAATACATAGTTACATTTATCATTCTACAAATACAATTTGAATGCATTCGATGAGAAGAATATATAAACAGATGATGTATTCTCTCTTTGATAACTATGATTAATAATTAGATAAGTGCTTTGCATTTATTTTATTAATCATTTATTTCTCAACATAATAAAGGAACATCTTTTGACAAAGTAACATGTATCATAATTAATAGTCAAAAGATTATTTTTGTATTTCTCAACGACGATTTTAGTTGAAGTTTTATTCTGAGTTATATTCAAAGTTAAAGTGATAATAGTTCTTTTATTGTCATTTTAGTTTTATCTCATGATAATGTTATATCTCATCGTATTTAGCATAATAAAAATCTTTGAAAGACTCTTTTTGTACTGCAAAAGAAGCTTATTTATACAGTTTTTGTAGCGCATTCAATAACACATCTTCCAAAAAAAAATCAAGATGTTATTATTTTTTCAAATCAAGATATAATTATTTTAGACATATGTACATTCTAAACTTAGAACTCAAAATTAAACAAAATCTTCAAATGATTAATTAAATAATAAAAATACCTCTATTATATGTTGTTTAAAAAGCAGAAACTTACTTATATATTTATCATTAAAAAAATAAGTGAATTGTTTCAGAATAAAAACCGTTCATTAACCAGTTCAACTGATATATTGCTAATAAAACTTTCGTAGAAAAAAAACATATTATAAATTTAACAATAATTGAAAAACAGTTACGTGTAATTTGTTACCTATCATCTATAATATTTTAATTGATAAAAAATACAAAATAAAAATCTAACTATCAAAGTAGAATTGAATCCAGTCAATATAATTAATTATTTTTGAAAAACTTTAACACTTAATTATTATGATGAGCTAATAAATATAAGGATGAAATATTTGAATCAGATAAAAATTTCTTATTTATTAGATTCATTTTAAAATATTGTCGTTTTCTTGTAATATGAACATCTAAACCCTATTACTCATCTTCAAAAATAAAACTAATGCGTAAAATCATACTCAAACAAAAATAATATTACTGTATTTGCTCCGTATTTACGTTAACGTACACATCATATCGTTTTTATTTTTTCAATCTTCTTTACAATATAAAAAAATTTTAATGCATTTAATATTTATTTTCATCAAATGATTTTAAAGGCTATCGTATAGAAAAGAAATGGAGTGAATACAATTGTCAAGGTATATTACGATGATGAATGTTATGAATACTGTCTTATTCGATTTACTCTCAATGAGTATGTGTTTATATAGTATTTTTATACGAAATAAATGAAAAATATGTCATACCTGATCGATTGAAATTATTTCTATATGTTTATATATTATATTGCAAAACAGAATATTGATTCAAGCATTTCGATCTTACTTAATCATAATGCTTTACATTAATTTAAATAAAATGAAAAATATTATCATTTATAACATATTCAAAAATAAAGGCATCACGTTGTTTTAACAGTATATACTACAAACTCATATAGCTACGTTAAACATAGTTGAACGTCTGACTCCTTTTATAACAAGATTACGATATAATAAATCTATGTAAGCATTCTGTGAAATTAAGAAATGAGAGAGTGTTGTAATAAATTCTTTTCTTGTCTTTGTCATAGCACTATATGCTTGTAATATGATAATGATTAACTTACGTAACATGTGCAAAAGACTTGATTACTTATTAACAACTTCCTTATTTGATTTCTATACATTATTAGCTTGAATTTTTTATTAATCAACGTTCTACGTAAAAAATATATTAATACCTATTCTACATCGACTTGTTATCTTTTTACTTAACTATGATATTCGAAAAGTTGTATTTTTTTGTTATAAAAGATGATATTGAAAACACACCGTTGTATATTTTTAAAGCTAAGTAATTTTCAATCAAAACAAAACAAAAAATGGATGACTGTTGGGTGAAAGGATCATTCATAGGATTCTTTGGAGAGTCTACTTCTGAAAACATCTTAAAATTTGCAACATAAATGAAAAAAAATGAAAATTATTTATTTTTTTCCACGATCAGGATTATGAGTATCTATTGAACCACCTGCTTTTCCATAAGGTGGATCATTAGAAACTACTTGATTTGGTTTGCTCCAATCTTTTCGTGTTGTACCTAATATATAAGCAAAACAATAAAATTATAATTATCTATAATGATTTCTTTACCAGGTTGTTTAGTATCATCAGTGGTATTGACTTTTTGTTTTTTATCACTCGTTTTCGTTTTATTTAAATTACTACCTTTGCTTGCATCAGATTGTTTTTCACCTAGAATAAATATATAATTGAAGTGATTTACATAAATTATTTTCTATATTAATTCTAATTCCTTTAAGGCTGCATTCAATATATTTAAACTGATACGGATTAAGTAAAAATATATAAAAAAAAGTGAGTTAAATTTCAATAATATACAAATAAAGATAATAACTTATAAGATACATGTGATGAAAAGGTCACATATTGATGCTATGTAAAACTTGTATCATTATAGTTAGATCATATAGTTTAAAAGTATATTTCTGTATCTGACATAATCGAAAATTACGAATGGTGTACATCTCTAGATATACTTGATCTTACTCTTTTATATGAAATTTTCACTACTATTTAATAGAATTTCTGATACGATAGTTTTTATACATTCTAGTAGAGTTATTACATTTTCATGAAAGTGCAAAGATATTTTGGTTAAATTAGATACTATCGTTAAAACGAAAGAATTTCAAATAATCTCTATATTCGAGTTAAAACTCAGTAAAAAAACAGATCTAGTTTAACTAACTGTCTGTATTCTGGCGTAAATAAATAAACATATATAATACATTTTCTTCATTTCATCAAATGACTGTTCATGTACTAGTTTTGTGTTCGAAAATGAAATATATTCACTTGGTTCCATTTAAAACACTCTAAAAGAGACACTAGCAAACTCGATCTTTGTTACGTACTTTTGGAGCATTAAGAAGTATAGAACTACTTTATTTTCTCCTTGATTTTATAGTCATTTTTTTATATATAATTAGTGCTCACTCCGATAATGCGATAGTTCGAATTGATTATTGAATATTTTTACTATGCTTTCTGCGAGATTAAAATTATTATTTATTTGAAGATATTATAAATCTATAGTTTAGCTGTTAGAAATCTTCTTGTTAGAACATTTTCGATATATCATTTATTTCTTTATTCGAAAGTTAAAAAAGGTTTTTTGAAAATTCGTCGACATACTTCAGTTCGCATCAAGCAATACATTGGTTGATATCTCTGTTCCTGTATGTACATCAGCGTTTAGAGATAGTTATAATAAAATTTTCAATACAACTAGATTTTATTTTATGATCTTTGGTTTAGGTTTTTTTTTATTGATTTTAGATAGAATCGTACGAAGAAAACTAGATGCTATTATCATTAAACATGGAAAGTAACCATCTATGTGTAAAATAAGACATGAACAGATGAGACGAGATCTTTTTCTAGTACTGAAAGAAAAAATGTAAAAGGGAAGGAAAATGAGAAAGAACAGATAGTTATTAAAGAAATTGAATTCGGTAATAGTAGAGATAGATATTTAGCAATATGAGTATTATATTCATTTTTCATCCTCATCTACATCCTAATCTTCTGACTAGTTCTCTATATTACATATTATCTTGTAAATCTGCTACCTAACTCGATATAACAAGTCTATTCGCATTGAAATGATTTACACAATGAGAATATCTATAATAGATAGTCGAATTCTATTGCTCTCGAGAAATTTTCAAGAAAAGTAATTGTCATATCTTGTAAATCAAGCATGTCGTTTGTGAATTCTATTGAACTTAGTTGAAATCTTATCAATTTCCATATTAATTTACTTTTATTTTGATTTGTAGATGAGCGTGAATCACTACTATCATAACGAACATGTTGTATAATCAACGACGGACGTATAAGATTAATTCGTCGTTGCTAGAATATATAAATCTAAATTAATTATCGTGAGAATTATATTTTAACTTACAGTTGCAACTGTTAATGACTGTCGTATTGCTTGCATAATCTAAAATTTAATTTAAAATCACAAAGATGTTTAATAAAATACATGTAATTTGCACGTAAAAATATTCATATAATAGATATCAAAAATAAAACAAATAATGATTATTTTAATACATTTATTTGAGAGAAGTCCTTTTTATTATACAACACCGACGATCATAATTGTATTGTAGAGGTAGTTAATGTAAATGAAGAAGTTATGTACAAAAAATAGTATTGATAAAAGATAAATATTACGTTTTTAAATTGATGTCATTCATTTTCTAATTAATATCTTGACAATATAACATCTGTTTATTGATAATTACATCGAATCTGAAGCAGAAAAATTATCGATTTAGTATGAAAGAGTTTTGAGATACTATTATTTTATGGCTCATATAAATAAAGATCGTCATAAATGTGAAATTAATACATACATAGTAAAGATAAAGATCTTACAAAGAAGGTAGACGAACTGTTTTCTTAACTTTGACTTCATGTTTTATGGGCAAATATATCTTAATACTACTAGTGAAAGTATAAAAGGATTCGTATTCACAGACTATCGAAGGCGACGTGTGACGGTTTCAAGGAATTTTCGGTTTTAAGATCAAAACATCAAAAGGTAGTATTTTCGTCTGAATTTGTACGTTTTTTAATAGGTCTCATGATTCTATAATCTGTTGGAAATGTTAGTCAGAATAAGTGCTCTATCCTTGATATACTAAATTCTTATAACTATTCAATTTTTAGACTTATTCGCGGCATGTGATCGATATTTAGATAACCGATATCTCGAAGATAAAATATTGATTGTGACTGAAATCCTTAGGATATTTCAATGATTATGACACTACATTATTGACATAATTTGAAATCGAAATACTGTATCCCCATCTATAACTAAGGAAACAACTATAAAATAAGAACTATTTCGTTATACTTCGTTATTTATAAATTCTTACTTAAAAAATTCAGCAAGAATATTTCTTATAGAAGGATTTACCCTATATTAATCACTTAAATTCCATAATTAATATTCAAAAATATGAATAATACCTTCATTTCGATATCTATCCATTATAGAATGAATTTTGTCATAAAACATCAAATAAATACTTTGAATGCATATTGAATGCATTACTCAACGTAATAACTTATCTTGACTAACGTATACATATGTTTATTTGATGTTTATCGATTAATTGATTTCGAGCGGTATAATTATCTAGAAAAAAACGAGATTTCATTTCAAAATAATAAAAAAGAAGTTTTTTCGTAAATATTTTTATTTTACATTATTTGATACAAACTACGATATACTGATGCGACACAATTAACATCAATCCATATATACAAAAATATATCACTTGGTAAACCTTTTTCAAAATAAAGATTGAGCCAAACTGATAAAACTATAGTACATAATTTAAATACAAAAAAAATTAAACGATAAGCAAGACCATGATGTGTTCCAATACCATGTATATATATTGAATAACTACCAAATAGAAGTATAGCCATATTACATATAAAATTAATATATTCAAGTATTTGACGTTGTTCATTATATGAAAAACATATTTTTCCTGAAATAGTTTTTTTTGATGATAAAAGATTTTTTGGTGAATCAATTAGAAATGAATGATTAAATGTAATTGTTTGATTTTTAATATCGGCTAATTCATATTTCATTTTCATTACTTCTTTATTTAAATGAACAACATCCGATAGAAAAAGTAAAAAGACAGTACTATAAAAACCAGCTACAATACCAAAGACAATCGATGCTATATTAGTTTCATTCATAGAAACTACAAAATATAGTGTCTAAAAGCAAAACAAATCATAGAAATATATGAGAATTTTTAATATTTAAATTGAACGTTAATTCACGAACATAAACAAAAATTTGTTAAGTAAAATCATCACTACTTGTTTAAAGATGTTTTATTTCATTTTGTTTATTCTTTTCTATCATATGAATGGCATAGACATCGGACCAATGGGATTAGGAAAGATTGTGTCAGTAGATATAAGTCATCGTTCTATTATAAATGAATACAATGTGTTTTAATCTATATTAACCAACGCAAATGTCATATATATTTAAAAAATCAAATGATTTTTGACACGCTTGAAGAATTAAGTCAAGTATTTCTAAACTGTCAGAAAAGAAGTCAGTTTATTAATAGTACTCTAAGCTTATTTGCTAAAAAGCTTTCTGTTGCTTTTATCTCTTAAAAAACCGATAATATTAATATAGTTGTTCAATGGTTCACTTGTGTTTGCTGAGTATCTTATAACTTACTATAGTATCTTTAAATTTTATTTCATGGCTTAAAAAAAATCAATCATTGATTGAATTTTAATTTTAGGTAAAATAAAATGTATCATCCTAATAACAATGTGGTCAATATTAAATTGTATTTTTCATAAAGATACGATTACTACTTCTGCATTTTACAATCTTATGCGTTATTTTGAAAAACATTCCGACGAAGATTAGCGATAGAACGTGCATGACTGAAGCTATAGACATAGTAGAAAATTGATTTTTGTTGAAAACTAACGGAAAATAAAGAATTTTCTGGATTGTGTGTAAATATTTGATGTCAAATAAAAATTGTTCACATACACAATCATCAATTCAACGACATTAGAACTTTTTTTTATAGTATTAAAGGATGATGATAAAACATCAGCAATAATTATAATCTATTTCGTATGCTTATTTAGCGTACAAAACCTTAATGAAGTGTATAAAAATATAGTAATAGATACTTTTTAAATAAATTTAAGCACACGAAAACTTTTTTGTGAATTATTTTATACTAATCAATATTCAAAGTTTATTTTTTATCTTTGTTTCATTCAACTTCCCTAAAAGAAATTGTCTGATTTCAATACTAAAAAATTAACATAACTTTTATTATTCAATATTAATAACATCTATCATTAGTCCATTAGAATTTCATATAAAATTTATTATCGCGATGATTTAGAACAATAGTGTTACTCGTCTGAATAACTCACTTTGTTAATAAACTTAATTTTAGAGAATAAAATTTTCTTTTGTCTCTTTTCTAAACAAAAAGAAAGTGTTGAAATCAAGTTGATCAGCAATGATCTTGTATATATTTGTAACGTAATCATAAACATTTGCAAGATTCTCTACAAAGAAATATGAAACTTTTGTATTACTGAGGTAGTATGTTATATGTGTATATGTAAATATAATTAATATAACGTAAATTAATCAATGTTATGTTGATCTTAACCTATTTGCTTTCTTTACTTTAAAATAATCAACTATGTTTATAGAAATTATATTAACTTCGATTTTCGTCTATATCATGATATTTTATTTAGTCGATATGAAAATATATCCATTTATACAGTCCTTCAAGACTCCATGATTCTTTTATTTATTGAACATAGTAATCATCAAGGTCGAATAAAAAATAATTGTGTCATTGAATTTTTCTTTCACACTTAAACCCTTTTATTATAATATGAATTGATATATATAGTATATCAAATATTCCTTGGCAAGGACAAAATTAAAGATACATCTTGATTTTCTTTTCTTTTTTTTTATGATGAAAGTTGTGATGAATGAAGGAAAAAGTTATATCACACATATGACATTTTCATTGAACAATTAAATAAGAATAGAAGAAATATTGTTCTCTTTATAGTTATAAAATACATAGATAGAAAAAAAAAAGAAGAAGACATGTTTGACGAGAAAAACACAATGTTAATCTAATGCCCAAAAAATTTTGGACACAGAGGAAAAAGTGAATTATCGAAACTAAGGATACGGTTTTTTTCTACACATATAACAAGCGTTTACAAGCTATACACACCAACAATAAATCACGATATACAAAAAGAAGAAGAAGAAGAAGCATCTAAAGAAATAGAAAGATTATTAAATCAACACGAAAAATGTGTTATTTGTATTCTTATAATTGAAAAAGAAAACACACGAAACAATAAATAAGTTCGGAAATATTTTGTAAAATCAAAATATTTTATTTTTTTGTAGATTTCTTAGCTCGTCCACCAGTTGTACGTTTTCGTCCAGCTGTTTTCTTTGCAGTTCGTTTTACATATGCTTTACCTTCCTATAGAAAAAAAAAACGAAAGAAAAATAAATCAATGTCACAAAAAAAGAATAACTTACAGTTGCTGT